GTAAAGCATATTACTTTAGCTCTTTAGGTCACCTAATGAATCAGTAACTTATAGATTCATAAAAATTGTAATGGGGAGAAAACCTATGACAGCCAGTCATCCAACCCTGTCATTTTAAGAGCAAAGGAGACTGGTTGTTGGCTGAGTTCCCCCAGTTGAGTCACAGCCTTGCTACTCCACCTAAACCTGGAGGAAATTTTACTACTTCTAAGGAGTTGTCCTGAAAGTTCACAAGTCAAAAAGAGATATCTAAATGGATAGTTTCAATTATATTTAAAAGAAAAAAAAGACTCCTATTAAATGGCAGTTTGTTGAGTTCTGACAGCTGTCAGGAGTATCTCTAAAATACACTGCTACCACCAGACTATGGCTGCCAGTGGGGCCTGCTCGGAGCAAGGCAGCCTCTCTGACGGGGTCCTGCCTGGGTTCTAATCAGATGAGGGAGGCGGCAGGCCGGCCTCCAGGTGTTCAGAAGGGCCTTTTGTTCTCTGGTCAACTTCTGTCAGGCCTTGTCTGCCTTTCCCCCACATACAAGGAAACATCAGGAGAAGGGGACCAGAGTGTCTGCAGAGACAGATGAAAAAGCACCAGGCCCGAGAAGGTGATGGTTATGAGTTAGCTGAGCCAGCTTTCAGCCACACAACTCAGGCCTGTCGGTGACATGTGGACAAGTGATGGCCATGGTACTTTTAAAAAATCAATCCTTTACTTGCATCCCAAGCTCCTATGTGGGGAGAATGAATTCCAGATAGCATTTCCTAAGAGGTTGATAAATATTTGGTCATTAACCAGAAACCAATGTCTCCCTCAAAGTGTAATGAATGAAAATGTAATACCAACCCCTCCTTCAAAAAAATTCCTTGCTTATAGACCATCGATTATCTTAATGCAGTATTTAGGATGGGTGAGCTCTCAGCTGAGCTTTCTGTCATCACGTTTATAACTGAATTTCTCTAAATGAAAAACATCCATTTTGTTCTGGCATAGATACAAGGATAAGCATAGTTTCATACATTATGCTAATATATTTACAATGAGGCTGTTCTTGTTTTGCACAGAACACACCATGAAGACAATCAATGAAAACCAGAATACCTATTGTTACAATTGAGAACATCAAGGCCAGGTACAAAGGACAAAGGTCAGGCTGCACATACATGGATGAACCCGATTTCTCAGAAGATACAACTTTGAAACAACAGGAGGATTTGCCTTATGATGGGGATTTCTCCCAAACGAAGCTATACAATGACTATAATTTAACCTTGAAAAATGACATCCTTGATGCGTCAGATCAAATTATTTCAACAGTAGATAACCCTCAAGAAAAGGCTACAGATAAAGAGGCTTGCAGAAATATAGATACGGCCCTGACACTGGATCCAAAGCCTGAAAATGCTGTCAAGAAAAAATATGACACTAATCTTCATATTCCAGCTAATAAAGGAGACCTTTCAAAGTCAAACATTTCTGATATTTTACTGCATCATCTTTCCAAAGAGGAATTTTTAAAAAGTCAAGGCATCAATTGTGAAACTCTCCCAGAGATCTCGAATGCTGACAGTTTTGATGAAGCTATTGTTAAAAACATTATATTGTGTTACATTAAGAATTCTTGGACAAAAGAACAAACCCCAGAACTCACTGACCAAATCAACCCCAAAAGGGATGGTGAAATCTGCAATCAGCCTAGTTGTCCTCCGGCTACAACAGAAGAAAATACCTCGGATTTGGAAGAGCCAGTGGCTGCTGGAGACAGATGCCATCCTGAAAATTCAGATTTTCTAACTAAAACCAACAGTCCAAAAAATAAACAAACAAGTTGCCAAGGGCAGACACCCCAGAAAGAGCAAACTGAAAAAACAAGATCAGACAATGGGTTTATATATGGCCAAGGTCAAGTTCATTACCGGTTCTCTGATTTCTCTAAGGTTGGTCCCAAAGTGAAAATCCCTAAAAATAAACTAATTGATAAACTACTTACCATAGATTAAACAAGCCAGCTTTTCTCCTACACTGAGAGATAAGTTAGCTATTGTGCAAGATATTTCAGGAAGCATGTCTAGGTCCAATTGTGTTGAAATACAAGAGCAGAAAAGGAAAACTTCTGACCCTTCACAGCAGGTAGAGAGAGGTACGTGGAAGTAGTCTCCAGGGAGTACATAATCGAGGCCACTGTTTATCTATGATCAGTGTGGGTCTTTGGATGGTGACTGCAACTGAGTTCTAGTTCTGAAGTTCCAGGTTCTAGTTCTGATGGATAATACCTTGACTTTGACCTTGCCGAAGCTCAGTGGGTGTCCTCAAGAGAATAATCAGGGGCTGGACTAACAACACATCACAGAATAAAATCACAATTCTTCCACCTGGAATTTGAGTTCCCCCATCTTTTGTACTTGATCCTACCCTTCTAAACTTAGCTCCCGTCCCCAGGAGTCATCCTCAGTTACCTGGCTGGTCCCCAACCTCTTCTCAGCCTCTGCCCTCTCTGAGGTCCTGCCTTCCATGGAACAACTCATCTCTGCTTACCAAAGACCTGCTCGTTTTAACTGCCTCCTTCAATTCCCCGTGGGCCACAGGGCTTTTCAGAACCCCCAGTCACAATCTTTCCCATCCTTGTTTAGTATTCTGTTACAGCATTTATCTCAGCCTGCTTTGAATCATAATCATTTGGAAATCTCTGCTTACTCCACTAGATTTGAAGACTTTAGAAGGTAGCAAACTTGTCTTCATCTCTCCCTTGCCTAACTTCCCGCAGAGCCCTGGCCTTGTATCGTACATGTATTGCACCCCTAGTTATTAATGCAAAATTAAATCAAATTAAGATCTGGAATAACATAGCTTCAAAATTGTTATANGTAATATTTACTTCATAATCATTGTAGGGGGGTCTAATTGGTTACTATTTAAAGAGCTTTGTGTTTTTTACAAGAAAGGGTTTAGGGAATTAGTGAGACCTATTATTTTTCTACAAGGGCATAATTTATAACAGATTTACATTTCAAATCCTCTCTTATATAAAACCACACAGATTGACTAAAAAAGCTAAAATTTTGAAGTACTGATACATTTTATATATAACTAATAATTTTTTAAAGCTATTGCGTTGTTGGAAAAGTCATGACGTATTTTTTCTGTTTTTCGTTGCAAAAATGCGTCATGACTTTTCTGACAACCCAATAGTATTTATCAGACATTATGTGCCACACACTGTTCTGAACCCTGTGCATGCATTAAAACTAAAATAGACATAACCCCACTCCAACACACATTTATTTAAACTATATATATAACTGATTTATCAGGATGGAGAATCACATGGCATAAGGACTTTGGTTCCATAGAAAATGGCTACCATTTTGTGGACTTCATGATAGACACTGGACTAAGTAAACGCATTATCTTATTTTATTCGTACACTAACCCTGTGAGATAGAGCTGTCAGCATCATTTTGCAAAGTAGGAAAATAAGACTCAGAGAAGTCAGGTAAATTGCCCCAGGTTGTGAAACTAGAAAGTGGCAGAACAGGGATTCAAACTCATGTCCTGCTGTCGTCCCCAGAGCTAGAGGTGCCTGTTTGTGATGTAGACAACTATGGTAAGTGGTTCACTCAGCACATGTTAGTTGACCACAGAAAAGTCTAAACCAAATAACAAAATGCTCTAATGAAGGTAATCAGCTTTTCGTGTATGTAGATAATCATCTTTTCAAATTTTTAAATGCCATGTATATTTCCTTTTGTGTTGATTCATTTCCTTTGCTCTCTGGGGTCATTTTCTTATTGATGCAAATGACCTTTAATATAAAATACCTGGAAAATACTGGAAAACACAACCAAAGAGCCATGATTAATTCCCCCTTCCTCCTCCCCTACCTTTACAAGCACACTGCCAAGTTCTATCAATTTTTCTCTCCAAAATATGTCATGTATTTTGAAGATACCCATTTCTTTCATCTTCCCTGTCACCACCCATGCTAGCTCTTTTCAGCTTCCCCAGTACACAAAGTTCTTTTTCGTCCTCAGGTTTTGTACACATGTCCCCTCAGCCTGGAACATTCTGCCTGACTCTGCATGGCTGGCTTTGTATTCTTCAGGCTCCAGCTTGAAAAGCACATCCTTAGAGAGCCCTTGCTTGCCTGTCCTATCTCGAGAAAGTTTACCCTTCCTTTCTTCCATTATTTTCCTATCCTTCACAGCACTTATCACCATTTATAATATACAATATTCTGAATCGTTTGCATGCAATTAATGAATTCATATTTGTAAAGTGCTGAGAACAGTGTAAGGCACATAGTGAGATGTGAGTGTTGATTTTTTTAAAAATCAACCCCCCCACCCAAAAATAAGAAAACAAAATGAAAGTTAAAAAAAGAGAAAACAATAAACAAATAAATAAATAAATAAAGCAGGTCCCATAATCCTCATAACCCCATATGGCAATGCTATTAATATCCCCATTTTATAAATTGGCAAACTGGAGAACAGAGATGTTAAGCAACTTGCCAAAGTTGCCACAGCTAGTGGGTAGTAGAGCCTAACTACAAACTCAGCCTGCACCAAAATTCATACTTCTAACCATCTTCTATATTGCCTTTTCATTCCAGGACCTAGCATAGTGACTTGGAACTAATAGGTATGTTCAACAAATAATTTTTAAATAAATGAATGAACAGCTCTAATAAGAAAATAAAATGTACCTGTACTCCTACCACATATTTGGGGAATTCATCCTCTAGATTTTTTTTTTCCTAATGCAAGGATGAACTTTTTATCAAAATCATAACTTTTTTTTTTTNGTGAAACAATTAATTATAAGACGGTGGGGAAAGTCAACCAAGAAAGCTCATTGTACAGGGGACAGAGGTGGCAGAAGAGAAAGTGCTGACCTCTCCTGGCCAAGGAGGCCAGGAAAGAAGGGCATTCCAGGAGAGAGGACAGCAGCATGTTCAAAGACATGAAGACATAAAACTTCAGGTGAGCTTGGCAGCTATAAATACCTTGGCATTGTTGAAGCATGAATTTCAAGTCAAGGTGTGGTGGGAAGACAGGTTGGAGAGGTTGGCAGCTGCCTGTTCACAAAGGGCCTCGCATGCCATATGCTAAGGAGCTTAGATGATATGCAAAATAAACTCCCAAATGTGTTATACGTGCAAATCTTCAATCATCCTGAAATGATAACATCTGAATGAGGTGTTCAAGAATTCTCTGAAGAACTATATAGATAAGGTTACTGCTATGTGACTCAGTTTCTTTCTGGCTCTATAACCTCATTTATGGTTCCTGTGTGCCTGGGAGGATTTTCACATTTCTTTTCATGTATTGTTAATTTTTAACAGCTTTATTGAGCTATAACTGACATACAATAAACAGCGCATATTTAAAGTGCACAATTTAAGTTCTGACATGTGTATACACCTGTGAAAACCATCACCACAAACAACATATCCATCACCCCTAAAAATTTCCTCATGCCCCTGGGAATCCCTCAACCTTCACCCTAACTGCAGGCAACCACTGATCTACTTTCTGTCTCTATATATTAGTTTGCATTTTGTAGAATTTTAGTTAAATGGAATTGTACAGTTTGCTTTCTTTCTTTCTTTCTTTCTTTCTTTCTTTCTTTCTTTCTTTCTTTCTTTCTTTTTGGTCTTGCTTCTTTCAAATAGCATAATTATTCTGATATTCATCCATATAGTTGCATGTATCGAAAGTTTTCATTTTTTAAAAACTTTCCACTTTTGAGGTATGCCTTCCTACAGTATTTTCTGTATCTCAACAAATTTGCTCCATGGGATGACAAAGCTCCACATTAGAAGGGGCTTTGGGGGGTGGCGGGGGCGGGTAAGAGACCCCCTGGAGGTACAAGAGATACTGCTTGGGGACCAAATGATGAGGCATAGATCCTAGTTTTCTAAGAATTCTCCAAAACATAAAAACAGTGCCATGCTAAGCAAAATAATGGCCTCCAAATGTGTCCACATCCTAATCCCTAGAACATGTGAATATGTTACTTTACATGCCAAAAGGGACTTTGCAGGTATGATTAAATTAGGGGTCTTGAGATGGGGACACTATCCTGAATTGTCTGAGTGGCCCCGATTTTGTAATCACAGCAATTCTTATAAATAAAAGAGGGAGGCAGGAGGGTCAGAGTCAAAAAGAGATTTGAAGATGCTGTGATATTATTGGCTTTGAAGACGGAGAAGGGGCCAGAGGCCAGGAAATGATCTTCAGAAGCTTGAAAAGGCAAGAGAATTCTCCCCTACAGCCTCCAGAAGGAATGCAGCCCTGCTGCTACCTTGATTTTTAGCTCAGTGAGACCCATTTTTAGATTTCTGACCTCCAGAACCAAAAGATAATAAATTTATGTTGTTTTAAGCCACTAAGTTTGTGATAATTTNCACACACACACACACACACACACACCTCTGGAGCCAGCAGCCCATCTGGCCTTGACTGGGATGCTTCTCTAAGTCTTGGAGAAATGTACACCGCTGTGACATTGGGAAGTCTCAGGGTTCCTCATTCTGCTTGCAGGAGAACACCCCCGTGGGTGCACAGGTCTCAGTGCCCCAGGGTTATAGCAGGAACAGAATGGGTATCAGGCTTCTCTCTCTCTGGCAGCGGGACTCTCAAGTCAGGTGTTGGGTTGTCTCTAGTCCTTTCAGTTCAGGGTGGTAAACTGAACTCTACAGGTTCCATATCCACCATGTAATTGAGATATTCACAATAATCATAGTCTAATTTGAGCACTACCTTTGAGCTCCCTGGCACTAGCATGTTTCTGAGCTTTATGTTTTGGAAAAAGTGGGAAGACCCTCAAGGGGAATCACTCTGAAATTTTATTTTATTTTTAGATTTTTTTATTGGGGAAGTAGGGGAGAGGAACAGTGTTGGGGAATTTGGGAAGGGGACCAACCAAGTTGTTGTTCTTCAATCTTTGTTGTGGAGGGCACTGGTCGCCATGTGTCTTCCCGTCGGCAGCTCGTGGCCTCTAAGCTCAAGGTGCTGTGTTCAATCTTAGTTGTGGGTGGGCGTAGCCATCATCCCATGCGGGAGTCAAACCAGCAGCCTTGTTGTTAAGAGCACACGCTCTATTCACTGAGCCATCAGGGCAGCAGCTCAGTTCAAGGTGCCGAGTTCAGTCTTAGTTGCAGGTGGGCATAGCCCACCATCGAACAGGCAATCTTGTTGTTACACCAGCTGAGCCATCCTGCCACCTGTTGGCAGCTCAGTGACGGCTTGGCTAGGGTGCAGCGTCACTGGCCCATGTGGGAATCGAACCAGAGGCCTTGTTGCTCAGAGCTCGTGCTCTTAAGCCAACTCTTAACCAACTGAGCCACTCGGCCGGCCCAATCACTCTGGAATTTTAAATTTAAATTCTCCTGTGCAGTTAGCCTATGTTAAGCGGAAAAGGGAACATCCTGTGTAAATCATCACTGTCTTGACACACATTGTGGCGCTTAATGCACACTGTTTCATACTGTTCCCTAGAGTGTGTTTGGTGTTCGTGAGGGCAGCAACAACAAAGCTGGTGACAAGTCCAACAACTCTCATGGAGCTTATGGTCAAGTTTTAGGAGAAATATTTGAATATTCCACATAATAGTATTACACGTGATAGTAGCAACAGCTACCATGTAGTGAACGCTTACCACATGACTGGTATGATGGCAAATACTTAACATTTAATCCTCCTAACAACCCTAGGAGGTAGTTTCTATTACAACCCCCATTTTACTGCTGAGGAATTTGAGGTTTACAGTGACGAGGTAATTGTGCTGGGTCACCTGGCAGATAAGTATCAGGGTGGAATTCAACTTTGGCCTCAGGGCCCCAGCTCTTGACACAACACTGGGCTGTCTCCACAAGGTAGAGGAGGTTGTCCAGAACACATCAGGTCATTCTGAATGATAGCATCATTGATCAGTATCAACAGTAATGTATTCTTATCTTTAATTCTGCAGATGGAGCCCACAATACATCCCCATGAAGAACATCCTGCAGGTACTATTATTTTTTAATCTCTTTGATTTAGATACACATTTTGAAAACTTTTTTTAATAGCAAATGGTGGTGATTGCCACAGACTTCTGTTTTCAGTACTTAATAAATCTGCAATGAACTTGAGATCAATGGTAGCCATAATTTGCTCTTTCTTATACAGGAATAGAATCTGAGACAAGTCTTTTTAAGTTGGCGTCAACCTCTCAGAAAGATCCTTCATCAAATTCTTATATATTTCAAAAGATATCCCAAGGGGAAAAGATGTGTCAGAAGTTAAAAGAACAGACTGATCAACTGAAGATGAAAGTAATACTTTTAAAGCTTATATGAACAATAGAAGTAACCAAATTCAAATATAAGACACCATGCCATTAATGAAATACTGCATGTTTTCACTGCAGGTACAAGAATTTTCCAAAAGCATAACACAGGACTCTCCCTATCATTTGCAAGACAAGAGGCTGGTAACAAATTTTATCCAGTTTTAAAAATCTTTCTTAGGGAATTTGACGTGGGTAAATACAAATGACTTTCAAGCACTGTGTCTTCTCTACATTGGTGGGAGTGGAAATGTTTTGCTGAAGATTAAAGGCAGGAATCTTGTCATTATCTTTCCATTGCCTGGCCTTGTGTCGTACATATTACGCCCTTAGTTATTAATGCTAAATTAAATTGAATCATGATCTTAGAAATAACATATTTCAAGCCTGTTATATTGGTAACTATTTAATACAGAATTGTGTTAATGTTTAATTTATGCTATTTCCCCTTTTCCCTTCCCCCTATCTTCCCATCCTGCCACTCAACTTTTCAACATGCTGAGGTTCAGAATCTCATTGATTATTTGAGGTTCAGGGGCTTAGTGTTACAAAGGCTAAAAGAGCTTAGACTTCAATTTCTATGTGTATTTAGCCTTCCTTCTTTCTCAGGGGAATTTATCACTGTTGTTACTCACCAGTCACCCCATAATAAATCTAAGGTCATGGCAGGTTCAAGAGAAGAGCAAGTCAGCTGTAACAAAGCGCAAGCTCATCCTGAGTTGATGGGTCCTAGGGGATATGGCTCATAAAAATTGCCAGTATCTGGCAACTCAATATATGAAACTTTGAAAATTTAAAATTGCTCTCACAGCTATGCTTTTTCAGATCAAAATCTTTGAGTTTCACATCCTGGCTTGTTGTTGCATTTCATCAAATCACTAATTTCTGTTGTAACCACCACAGCCTTGTTCATCAGTGCCAGGGTTGTGGGAAGTGAGGGCAGAGCCTGGCAATGGGGCAAAAAGCTGAGACTGCTAGAGCCAGAAAAGTTGAAGATGTAGTTTAGGCCATTGCGCCAACCCCAAGGCAGGTGGTTGGAAGTCTTGATGTAAAGGACACAAGCAAAGCTCAGGGCAGTCTGTGCTTCAGAAACCAGACAACATATACAAGAACCGGGAGGAGTCGAATGTTAAGACACATGGTTCATTATTCATTCATTCATCATGCTAATTCAATAACTCATTCATTCATTCAACAAACACTTATCAGGTACTGCCTATTTCCCTGACTCAATACCAGGCACTAGGGACTTGGAGACAAAGAAATAATTTCTTTTTTCAAGTGGCTTATAGTCCCCTAGGATCAACAGATTGGTAAATAGACAAGTGACATGCAGCTTGAGAAATGTTACAGATGATGCTAATTGCAGCCTAGAAGTAACCTGCCCCCGCCCCCCCCATTGCCAGTCAGAGCAAGGTACTTTGGAAGGCTTCCTGAAGTGACGTCTGAACTGGGTATTGGAGAAGGAATCTGGGTAAGCTTAGCAGAGTAGGAGACAAAGGGGTGTTCTGGGAAAAGGAACCAGCAGTTGCAATGGCCCAGGGTCAAGACAGTGCTGATAGTGTGAGGATCTGCTCGGCACTGTAATTGACCAGGTGGAGCTCAGGACACATGTGAAGAGGAAGGGACCAGACTAGAGAGGTAGACAGGGTACATCACGAAAGGCCTTTAAGCCACTCTGAGGAGCTAAGATTTCATCCTGAGGTTGAGTGATGGGCAACGCTGGAGGATTTAAAGCTAAGAAGTGGCGAGCACCATGGAAGCAAGACTGTGGGGACAGAGAAGGGCTAGGAATCCATAATCCAGGTAACAAGTTATGAGGGCCTGAACCAAACCTGGCAATGAGGCTGAGAGGGGGCCAAATCTCAGGGTTTAAGGGAAGTGGTAGCAGGTTGAAAGGGGTGGAGAAAGGAAGGAGGCGGCTTGGATGGATTCCAGACTTCTAGTTTGAGCAACCAAAGTCAGGAATAAAAGTGGAGGATCCAGTGCAGAATGGGTGTGGGAGGCAGGCAGGAGGCAAGGTGTCAAGTTCAGCTGGGGACATTTGGAGGTCCCTATAGGACATCCAAGTGGACAGGTCTAGTAGGCAATCAGGGCAATGGATCTGGACCTCAGATGAGTTGTTTGGGCCAGAAATGTAAATTTGGGTTTAGCTGTGGGTTGAAGCTATGGGGTATATGTGAGGTTGCCCTGGCAAACATCCAGAGTAAGCAGTGAAGTCCAAGGTTAGAATCGTGGGAAACAGCAGCAAGGGGCAGGTGAAAGAAGAGAGTTTCACAAAGGAGACCCATGAAGCAGACCTGAAAGGTCAAGGCCGACCTGGAAGGGGCAGTGCTCCAGAGGCCAAGAGAAACGAGGGTTCTAAGGGGGATGTAGATCACACCATCAAATGTTCAAGTAAGAAAGGAAAGGAAAATGTGCAATGGATTTGAGAACCAAGACGTCATGAGGGACCTTGCGAAGCCCAGTTTCAGTGAAGTGGTGGATCTCTGGAAGCCAGGTTGCAGGAGTTAAGCCATGAATGATAAAGGAGATCTCCAAACACCCAGGCTTCCAGGAACTGGGGGAACACAGAATTTGAAAGGGCCGAGCAAAGCAGAGGGGACTGGTTCAAGGCACTAGCCTTTTGAGGCCTCGATTCAGGGTGTTTCTTCCTGACATTACAGGGTATGTGGGGATTCATGTTGGTACTGAGAGATGCCGTGTAAACGTCACTCCTGAAAGTGTCAGCCTTGGTCTGAGAGTTCCAGGCCCACTGGGTTCAGTGTTAGAAGAAGGACAACCTTCTCAGCAGGAGCAGTAGCACATAGTAGAAAGCATTTGGGCTTTGGAGCAGAGATCCTAGTTCTATGTATTGGTTGTATGATCATAGACATGTAGCATATCTTCCCAGAGTTATTATGAGAATTAAATGAGATACACTTATGGCTAAAAAACTGTGCCCTATCTTCTTCTGAGATGTAACACCATTCAAATTCCAAGATCCTAAATTATAATTTATCACTGGCTTTCTTTTCTCTTTCCTTTGAACACCTAATTCTTTCTCATGACTTTCGCTGTCATTGTCACGCTGCTAATTCCTAAATCACCAGTCCTAACTTCTCATCTATATTTCCAAGTGTTTGTGTGTACCTTCACTTGGGTATCCCACTCTCACTGAAAACTCCACCCCATCCAACGTTATAGAATTTGTTGATATTGACATCTCCATTCAAACTTGTGAGCCTTTCCAAATTCCTCATTTTAGTCAGGGCTTTCACATTCTTCCCATCTCCCGAGCTAGATGCCTGAGCATTGTCTGTGAGATTACACCATTTGTCAGGGGCCTGGCAAGAACTCAGTGGCTTACTCCATGGGAGTAATCGAGGAGAGTCTAATAAGGCGTTATTTAACCACAGTGCGGGCCAGGTTAAGGGAAACCAACAAGTGATGGGAAGTATCTCATGGAAGGAAGAGTGGAGCAGAAGGGACCGGGAAAGAACAGATACTGGAGCCAAGGAGAGCAGCTGTAGCTGTCAGAGTAGTTGACAGGCTCTGCGGCTTTCCGTAGAGACACAGTCAATCCATGATGATACAGTCAGGAGGAAATTAGGGAAATAAAGACTCCTACCTCATCCTTCTTTTTTTTTTTATTGTTAGTTTCAGGTGTACAGAACAATGCAATAGTTACCCTTTTCACCCTCACAAAGTAACAACCCCCCT